TGGGGGGTCAGACTACATAACTACTCTACAGTTTTGTGAACAAAATTTTAATAATTTATATTTTTGCAAAATGTATCTGGTAAACAATTGCTTCCCTCTGCTCTGATGACCATGTCTCTGGTAATGACTGGCAAAAATACTGTCTATAATAAATCTTAAACATGGCCATCTAGCATGAGGTAAGACAAAGATCTATACAAATATCACTAGATCTTGATAACAGCTATAGTCTTTGATAGTTTCCATCTGAAAAGAAAACTAGAAATTGAGTGACAAGGTATTCAACAGAGTACTAAAAACTGTGAGATTAATAGTAAGTCTGCTTCTTTAGTCCTTTAAATACATCTACTTGCTCAATTTCTACACTATACAAGGGGGAAAAGAACATACACAGCAGCTTTATAGATAATTGGAAAAAACCAAGTCTTATGTGGATACAATTAAAGTAAAATCCATTACCACAAAGTCACAATACATGGCTGTTCCCTCTGAATCAATTGTGAACCTGCTGTATAATAAAACTTTTCCTCATTAAGCTTCTAGCTATATGCTCTCATGTACAATATCTTAAAATTATTTTTAATGTGATTTTTTTTGCAAAAGCTTATTAATAGTAAATATGTGCTCTAGGAAAAATGTTCCCTTAGCTAAATTGGTATTTTTATTAAATATAAACTTAAATTTTAGTTATTTTGTTACACTGTCCATGCTTGGTAATCTTTGTCACACATGCTACTTCTCTGACTGCTAACATTACCGCAAGAAAATAATTATTTGCAATAGTGAAACTGGTTTTGATTTCTTCACTGCACTTCTTATCTATGGTTCCTTCCTATAACTATATCTGACACTCAAGCAAAGATTTCAGATATATTTTGGAGCTAGCAGTGAATCTTATAAAAATGACACTTTGCAAGATTAAGACGATAAACACTGGTAAGAATAAAATATTTGACACAGCAAAGACTAGTTTGACATATTTGCTTCCTACTTCACTATATTAAAATTAGTGTTCAAAATTCAAAAATTTAATTTACAAAATGATCAGACTCCCTACCCAAAAACACATATAGAAAAGACTGAAGACAAGTACTTTGACTCAATGACCTGAGACAGAGGATCCTTATCTAAATAAGTCACGTGTCTCTACCTATTCTATCCTAAGAATCTGTCAGAGCTCAAATTTTAGGTTTAGATATCTTGAACCCTAATACTTTTAATGAAAAGCTATTATGCTAAATTGCTGGGTTTAAATCTCATTATCACTATATAAAAATCTTGTTAAAATACTTCTAGTTATGTGCTTACTTAGCTGAGATGACTTTAAGTCATATCAAAAACATATTTGTACAGAATCCTGTAAGTATTGCTAAAGAGACATTCTGCTAGCTCTGGCTTTATAAATGAAAGACTTAAAGATGAGACAGGAGGAGCAATTTATTGTCTTTGAGTACATGGAAAAGCATTCCTTTGTGACTGCAGATGTCACTTGCTGAATCAGGGACATATTTCTTTTACATTTCTGCTTTTGCCCACTGACGTAGAAGATGCTATCTTAACAGAATAAATACTAAAAAATGCAAATTGACACCCATCATTTGATTTAAAGTATGCTGGCAGCTTTCCTGGAGACTTTAAAAACAAAGAATATTAATCTCAAACTACTCTGGGCTCTGCACCAGTGACAAATATACTTCAGAAGGTCTTCTAACTAATAAAAATATTTAGGATTTTGTGGGGAGAAAAAAGATTATTCTTAAATCTGGATAGAATTACTGTGAAATCTTTAATATTTTAAAATACTTACAAAGTTTTTAATACTAGTATTAAATTATAAGATATACACAGACTGGCTGACCATTTATTTTGAAAAAAATCATAAAATATAATATTTTAAGTGATTGTTTTTGCTGGGAGCTCATCAAAATACTAGAAACACACAAATGCCACTGTCTTGTTCCGCCAAAACTGTTTACTCTAGATCAAAAGTAATATATTATGAAGTCTTTAGATGATCACAAAGAACAAGGGACTGAAAATCAATTTCCCTCTATCAATAAGTTGTCAGAAAACATTTTCCTCATGATTTTAAGTAACTGAATGTTAAATGTATATATCAGAAACATTTTAAATACTTAATTAAGAAACTTGGACACTGTACACCCTAGCACTAAATATTAATATTATACATGATGAATTGTAGGTATAATCATTATATAAACATGTCTCTACAAAGACACAGGTAATCAGGACTTCTGTAAAATAAAATGAAACAATACAAAACAAATCAAAGTGAGTATTATAATTTCCTTCCATTTCTTTCATAGAGTTAAGAAATCAAAATGAGAGGACATCTAGTCCCATTTTATAGTAATAAAAAATGACTAATTCATAAATGTACATGTTCTTTCCTAAGACTAGAAATTTAGAAATAGCTCATCATTTTACTATCAACAATAAATTTTTGAGAATTCTTCTAAAACAATCTCTTTTTTGGGACAGTGGTTCTCATATCTATTTGGATGGCAATGAACAAGCAATTGGGGATACTCTCTATGAAACCACCCAAATGATCATGTTGTACTTAATAGTATCATAAGAACTAGAAAAAAACTTTACTAGATCTCTATCTATCTATCTATCTATCTACGTATGTGCAACTCTATAATTACAATTGCAATGTGTGTGTGTATATATGTGTATGCATATATATATTCTCCAATACAAAAATCCCAACCACAAACTACTGTCTATGAAAAACCTAAACAAGTTCAGGGCAATTTTTTCATTAACACCGATTTGGTTTTTGTTAATAACAACCATAGCTTACGCTCCAAATATTTACTATGTGGCAAGCAATAGGCCAAACTGATTTATATGTGTATCTTACTGAGGGAAGGTGTTCTCTTTCCGGGTCCACGAGGGGGCATAGTTTTAAGCACAAGAACTTCCTAGCGCCATGCCCCATTCCCATCTCTCTCCATCCGGGAGATTTAATGGTTTGTGTTTGAATTTCGCAGGCACGGGAAGAAACTAAGAGTCACTCACTCCAGTAGAAGTTCTAAAGAACTCCTTTCATTGGCCTGGGGTCTTAGAGAAGGTGGGGGTTCCTCCCAGGTTAAAAGTCCCCTTCTTCCACACTCCTTCGGACTCCATGTTTGGATCCCCTTCCACAAACACTCCCTTTGTGGAAGCTGTTTTTCTCTATCCTAGATTTTCCCTCTGGAATCCCCTTCCACACTCTTTCATGGAAGCCTGTCTTCTCCTCCTAAACTCCATCTCTCTGTCTGTTCCCCAACACTCTAGTGGAAGCTGCTTTCCTCTCCTGGATTCCATCTTTCTGGATTCTCCCATTCAGTGTGAGAGCTATTTCTTTCTCTCTCCTTCTCCTGTTTCTCTCTCTCTTTAAATAAATCACTTTCTACAAACACTTTTGAGTCCAGCATTTACTGCACACTGTGCCGTGGTCCCCTCTCTCATTCATGAGAGGGCAGGAGACCAAGAACCTGGAGAAATGTCCTCTCAGGGGAGCTGAAGGCACCCTGAACCCTGGAACCCCAATATTACATCACTTAAAACTTCCCCATCTCAAAGTATTTAGTATGTGATGGGCGATAGGCCAAACTGATTTATATATATGTCTTACTTATAACTTATGCGTCTTACAGCCACAAAAGACAGCCATTATTAGTTTCATTTGACAGTGAAACAACTGAGATTTCTAACACATTAGATGTACTCTAACCCAAGTTCAAAGTACTGGTTAAATGGTAGAGTGAGGACTCCATCCCAAGCTTGATTCAAACTTGTTCTTCTAATCACAACACTATTCTTCTACATTGCAAAATAAAATCTAAAGAAATTAAAGTATTTTACATAATCATCTTTAAATTTTTAAACTAATCAGAAAAGACCAACAGTAATCAAATTTAAAAAAATTTTTTTTGAGAAAGGGTCTCACTCTGTCCCCCAGGCCGGAATGCAGTGGCATAATCATGGCTCACTGCACCCTCTGCCTCCCCAGCTCAATCAATCCTTCTGCCTCAGTTTCCCAAGTAGGTGGGATTATAGGCATGTACCACCATGCCCGGCTAATTTTAAAATAATTTTTGTAGAGGACAGAGTCTCACTATTTTGCCGAGGCTGGCCTTGAACCCCTGGGCTCAAGTGATCCTCTCACCTCAGCCTCCCAAAGCACTGGGATTACAGGCATGAGCCACCATGCCCGGCCAACATTAATCAGTTTTAAGAGTGGAACATTAGTTTAAGTTGAAGAATCACTTAAAAGTTGCTATGAGAAGACTCCTATTAATTATGTATTCTGAAAATGACTCCTAAGTTCCAAATCTAACGTGCTTTTGTTAAGCACACAGGGAAAGAAATCCAGTTGTGTCAGCTGGATCTCAAATAAAGGCCTTCTTATTAGAGCATAAGCCAACTGTAAAATCAATCCACCCAGCTAAATACTCAAAAGACAGAGATTTTTAGAGAATAGATGTTTTAGGGGAAAATAAACTAAATCCACTCTGCCTTGTTTTTAGCAACTTTGGAATTTACTTAATTTGAAGGAGGTACATGGGCCAGCGTTGTCACAAAAGAAAAAGACAAATAACTCTTAGTCTTCAGTGTAATTGCTATTCGCTAAACAAAATATTACTAATATATTTAGTTCTATAGGAAGTCCTCTGTCAGTATTATCCTAAGTATCAATAATTTCTAATTTTATAATATTAGAATTAGTATATTTATAGCCATAGTCAGAAAGCCAGAAAACTATATAAAAATAATTCTTTCAATGAGAACTACGAAAAAATTACTCAGCAGCACAGCTCAAATGTGTCTGGCTCAATTCAACTTAAAATCTTATTATTCTGGAGTGAAATTTTACAAAAAGACAAATGTCTTTAGTTTGCCTTAGAGAGCTACTAAAGACAAGAAAATCTGTTAAATAATCATTAAATTTTAAAATAATCTTAAATAAAGGCTTAAAATATGTGTACCTTATAATATCCATTGCCTGGTAAAGTATTTCAGATTGATCAACTCCCAGAACCTTCTTCGCCCCAGCTTTAGCAGCAAACATAGAGAGAATTCCAGTTCCACATCCAACATCCAAAACTACCTGTAGTAATAAAACAAACAAACAAAAACAGATGTTATCAAAAAGGTCTTTTATATTAAATTCTATCCATGTATTATGATGTTTCTGACTAGGAAAAGATCACAATAAACATTTTAAATTTTACTAAACAAATACACAGTAATTCCTAATTGGGAAAACTGAAGATATTATTACTATGAGTTGTTTTAAATTAATAACAGCATAGTTGGCCATTGTCTGTTGTAATTAGACCCAACAATGCTAAATTTAAGAGAGTTTATATTAAAACAATTATTTCTAAAAAAAAAAAAATTATGTCTGTAGCTTTAATAGAGAATTACTGTTTTTAATTTCCCTATTGTATGTATATTCTATTTTAGGCTAATTCTACATTTTAACAGAAATAAATTTTTTCAAGTTTGAGTGGCAGGAATTAACTTGAGCAGGATAGCCTGATCCAATACAATTTAAAAAGGGTTATAAAGTAATCAAGGATATGGAATATCACTACATCCTTCCTACCCCCAAAATTAAATATTCAGCCCATTTTAACAGTAAAGTGCAATAAAAACAAGTTAGCTGTAAAAATTCAGTAACTTGAGAGTTTAAGTTGTAAAAATGGTAATTCTTGGTGAAAGAAAAGTATTTATTAGAACCAAAAGCTTAAGATGCTATCTGGGGTGGGTGGGGAGCAATTATTTATGTAAATAATTTAATATGGTTTTCCCTGGAATAGTATAGGGAGGCCTACTTAGTTTATAGTAAAAACAAAAGCAAGTCACCAAGGAAACACATTTAGCAAAATCCTTATAAGTACATTACTCTGTGAAATTACTGAAAACTAGCGCTTTAAATCTTTCATTATCAATGGCCTAAAAATCATATATACCTGTCCCAAAATATGAAATTATTTCAGTGCCCTCATACTGTAAGTATTCACTAAGCATTACTAAGTACCAGGAACTGATTTCAGTGATGGGGTACAGCAACAAACAAGACCAAATCCCTGACTTAATGGCACATACAATCTTGTGAGAGAGACAGACAATGAATAAACAAAGAACATACAATAAGGTCAGGCAGCAAGAAAAATCAAGCAGAGCAGAGGTCAAGACCAGAGGAGAGGAGAAACACTCTTTCTTGTACCATCCTAGATAGGTCTGACAATACCTCTCTGATACATGTGAGCAGAGAACTGAATAAAGAAGAGTGTCATGCAAAGTTCTAGGAGAAGTACATTTTAGTCATGGAGGGTGTTAACTGCATGGCCCAATATTCCAGGCAAAGCCAAGATGGCCAGTGTGGCTGAGCTGGGTTCAGAAAGACGACACTTGGTGAAGTGAGATCACAGAGTACCTTGGATTTTACTCTGAGTAATGAGAAACTATCCTAAGAAAAATAAAACTAGAATTAAGAATCGATTCTACTGTATACCAATTTTTTTTCTCACTAGGCAACAGAATATCGTTTAAACATCAGGTACATTTCCTATCCTTTAAAAAAATTTTTTATGTACATTACAATTCAATACATGTTTTTCCTTTTACACATGATAGCATATTACACCCACTGTGCTACATATTGCTTTTTTTTTTCTTAACAATACAAATTAGAGATCTCTCCATATCAATTTATGGAACTCCTTTCTTTTATGTAGCTGTATAGGATTCCACATTATGGCTGTATCACAATCCAGTTCTCTACTGATGAACATTTTAGGTGTTCCCGAAATCTTAAGAGGACAATAAATGCTGTAAATAACCTCATATCTAAGCCCATTCCCATGAATCAGTAAATCTAAAGAATATATTCCTAGAAGTGAAAACACTTATGTCAAAAAGTATATACATATTTGTAATTCTGCTAGATATAACCAAATTGATCTTATAGGGCAATTCTGCTAATGAAGACTCCAATGAGCAATGAATTAGTACCAATTTCCTCACAGGTGAGACCAGCCTATGAAACACATAATGAAACTTTTGGATGTCTACTCATCTGGCAATCACAAAATAATGATATGTTAATTTAGTTTTAATACGCATTTCTCTTATGAGATTTAGCATCATTCCAGGTAGTCATCTGTAATTTTACGTGAACTATCTTCTCTCCATTTTTCCACGCAGTTGCTAGTCCTTTTCTTATCAATCTGTCTTAGCACATGAGTTCTTTGTAAATTAAGATTAGCTCTCTATAATCCTCTATAGTATGACATGCAGTGTTTTCTCACGGCATGTATTTTTGTCTTTTGATTCTACTTACAGTGATTTTTGCTATGCCCAAATTCTTTACCTACAATTAAACTTATTAATCTTTTCTATAATGTCTTCTGGACTTTGATCATAATTAGATAGGCCTTCCCCAGTCTATCCCATTTCATTCCATTTCATCCTCATACATTTCCTTCCACTACATTCACAGTTTCATTAACATAGTTTGTTTTTAAACCATGGTATATACCAGAAGGCATGGTTCCAATGTTTTGTTCAAATGGCTGACCACTTGTCCCAATATCAGTTATTAAGATTTCCCCCACTGATTTGATATGTGACCTTTAACATTCATTTAAATATTTGTGTATATTTGCATTTATTAATGGATTTAAAATCAGTTCTGTTAATCTATATATTCATGTGCCACGAATTATTTTAGTTACTGAAGCTTTATAAAATGGTTTAATATCTAGTAAGTCTGGTCCATGCTCACTGCAAATATTTTTCCACATTGTTTCTGGAAAACTTTTTGTTTATTTTTCCATATAAGCAAGAGGTTGGTTTGTCTAGGTTTAAACGTCTTAGCATTTTTATGAGAACTGAACTAAAATTTAGGAAAAATAATTGTGAGTTTTCCTATTTAAGAACCTGGTATGACTTCCAATTTGTTTAAATTGTCTGTTAGGCACTTCAGTTGTTCTTTAAAAAATCTTTTTTTGTATAAGTGCTGCATATTTCTAGTTGTTCACGTGTATACATGTTAAGTTCCGTATTACTAAGTGAAGTTTTCCTTCCATTATATCTTTATTTTCTTAATTTTTGAGTGAGAGTCTTACTGTGTTGCCCAGGCTGGAGTTTAATGGCACAATCTCAGCTAAACACAACCTCCACCTCCCTGGTTCAAGTGATTCTCCTGCCTCAGCCCCCCAAGTAGCTGGGATTTACAGCGGTCTGCCACCATGCTCGGCTACTTTTTTTGTTTTTAGTAGAGATGGGCTTCACCATGTTGGCCAGGCTGGTCTCAAACTCGTCACCTCAAATGATCTGCCCAGCTTGGCCACCCAAAGTGCTGGGACTACAGGCGGGTGCCACCATGCCCAGCTCCTTCCATTATATATTGAGAATATAATTTATTAGTATTGACTCCAGAAGAGAGAAGATCTTAGTAGCCTGATATCCACTGAGGAAATAAAGCTGCGAAAGGCTACTACTTTGAGCTTCCTATCTTGTGCCCAGATGGTTTCAGTGGGAATTTGATTGTTCTTGAACACATGGCCTGTCTGGGTGAGTAAATACATCTTAACATAATTACTTTTACAAACATTAAGCACTTTATTTTAACATGTAATCTATATACATCATTGCAAACAAAAAGAATTTTTTAAAAGTTCCGGATAAAATGTATTAACCAAAATAGCAAGAAAATAGTATGCTATATAGTATATATGTATATAGTACAATTAAAGTACATCAACTTGAAATATTATATGGAAGAAAATGAAAATAAAATAGAAAAATATACACAATAGAACAGTATGTAATAAGTTTCCAGAAACTCTCATTAAAATAAAAAATTTACAAAACTGAAAAATTAAAAGATCAGTGTAGAATACAGAAGTTTGCTAAAAGTGCGTTGGTGATAGTATCCGGGAAGATCAACACTCCCTTGCTGTGTACCAACGACAAGCTTGTAGCACAACTGGTGACACCATACATGGTATATACCCTTTTGACCTAGGGAGTCCACTGCTAAAAAATTACCTTATAATTGTACTCCCATATATATATAATATTTATATATATTTTTTTAATATTTAATATGAAGCATTATTTCTAATATAAAAACTGAAACAACTTATGGTCACTCTTACAGTGGATATATGAACCATTAAAAGAATATTAATGAAAAGATGCTCCAAAATCACTAATCATTTAGAAAAATACAAATCAAAACAAGTATTACCTAACACCAATTAGGATAGCTATTATCAAAAAACTAGAAAACCACAAGTATTGCTAAGGATATGGAAAAACTGGAACTCTTGTGGACTGCTGGTAGGAAAACAAAATGGTATACCCAATGTGAAAAACAGCACAGTGGCTCCTCAAGGAATTAAAAATGGAGTTACCATATGACCCAGCAATTTCATTTCTGGATATATACCCAAAAGAATTAAAAGCAGGACCTCTAAGAGATAGTTGTACACCTATGTTAATAGCAGCAATATTCACAATATCTTTAATATAGAAGTAACCCAAACATCCATAGAAAGAAGAATGAATGGATAAGCAAAACATTGTACATACATACAATGGATTATTGAGCCTTAAGAACAAAAAAAATTCTGACATTTGCTACAACAAGGTCAAACCTTGAGGATATTACCCTAAGTGCAATAATACAGTCACAAAAGGAAATATAGTCAGCCACTTTTATCCCCGGGTTCCCCAAACAGGGAGTCAACCAACCACTAATCGAAAGCATTAGGGAAAAAAATTTGCAACTGTACTGAACATGAAGTCTTCTTTCTCTAGTTACTATTCCCTAAACAATATAGTATAGGCCGGGCGCGGTGGCTCATGCCGGTAATCCCAGTATTTTGGGAGGCCAAGGCGGGCGAATCACGAAGTAAGGAGATTGAGACCATCCTGGCTAACATGGTGAAACCCAATCTCTACTAAAAATACAAACAATTAGCTGGGCATGGTGGCATGTGCCTGTAGTCCCAGGTACTTGGGAGGCTGAGGCAGGAGAATCACTTGAACCCAGGAGGCAGAGGTTGCAGTGAGCCAAGATTGTGCCACTGCACTCCAGCCTGGGTGACAGAGCAAGACTCTGTCTGAAAAAAAAAAAAGAAAAAAAAAAAAAATACATATATATATATACACATATATACACGTATATACACACACACACATAGTATAACAACTATTAATATAGCATTTACATTGTATTAGGTATTACACGTAATCCGGAGATGATTTAAAGTATACAGGAAGATGCACACAGGTTATATGAAAACACTACACCATTTTATATGAAGTAAATAAGCATTTGTGGATGCTGCATCCACAAAGGGTCCTGGAACTCAGGAATATAAAGGGCTGACTGTATTTCCTTTGTGACAGAGACTGAGGGATGACTGTACTGTAAGATTCCATTTATATGATGTATATGAGTAGTCAAAATCATAGAGACAGAAAGTAGAATAGTGATTGCCAGGGGCTGGGAGGGAGAGAATAGGGAATTATGTTTTAATGGGAATAGTTCCAGTTTTATAAGACGAAGAGTTCTAGAGATAGAGGTGGTGATCGCTGCATGACATTATAAATGAATTTAATACCACTGATCTATACACTTAAGGATAGCAAAGATGGCAAACTTTATGTCATGTGTATTTTACCACAAGAGAAAACATGGGGAAAAAAGACAATAAGGAAAGATCTCCAAGAAAAGCTGCTGAGTGTGGAAAGTTAAGTACAGAAGAATATGTTTAGTATACTCCACTTAGAGTATGTGTTTTTTGGCAAGATTATAAAAATACACACTCAGATATAATGTATATACAATACATATATGTGTATGTGTAAAAATCCTTATTTAATCCTCACTTTGCAAATGAAGAATGAGAGCTTTAGGGAGGCAAGGAAATAGGTCCAGGGTGGCCAGGCATGGTGGCTCACGCCTGTAATCCCAGCACTTTTGGAGCCCAAGGTGGGTGGATCAAGAGGTCAGGAGGTCAAGACCATCCTGGCTAACATGGTGAAACCCCATCTCTACTAAAAATACAAAAAATTAGCCAGGCGTGGTGGTGCACGCCTGTAGTGCCAGCTACCGGGGAGGCTGAAGCAGGAGAATTGCTCGAACCCAGGAGGCGGAGGTTGCAGTGAGCCGAGATTGCAACACTGCACTCCAGCCTGGTGACAGAGCAAGACTCCATCTCAAAAAAAAAAAATAAATAAAAATAAAGAAATAAGTCCAGGGTCATACAGCTGGTAAATTGTAGGGCCCGTATTCAAACACAGGTTAACCTGCTTCTAAAACCTTTATTTTTAATTGTATGTTAATTACTTATTATATCTAGCTTAGAATTAGGTGATCAGGCAGAAAAATTAAAATTTGATAGAATCAAAGAGGTAGAATAGAACGAATCAACAGTACTTTATAAAATGATGAGAAAATTTGATTCATTTTTTTCTTAAAAAAACAAAAAACAAAAAACTGAAGTGTAACTGTAGATAATAACCAGAAGCATAAAGGCACCTAACTGGGAATTTCTTCAATAAACTACAAACAGAAATTAATTATGAGTGGGTGACAACACGATTGAATACCACCCAAAGTTAAATTAATCTGAGAAACCATATGGCCTCCACAGGAGCTTTGTGATTTGAAACAATATTAAGAAAAGGAGGAAAAAAAGGAGGCTGGGAGGAAGAAATGAAGAGAAGTGAAGGGAAAAAGGAAGAAAAACATTTTTAATAATAATACTTAATATCTTGATGATTAATCTTGTGATTACTATACTTGAGCCTGTTCATTATTTACTTACCTACTATAAGACAAGTACATTCAGAAGCATACTGAAGGAACATTCTAACTTACTTTCTTAATAAGCTCCTCTGGTATTCCTATTATCGAGTATTAAGAGAAGATGGCTCAAAGAAAGGCAATGATGATGTTCACCATAATAAAGCCCACAGAATTTTAGAACCAGAAATAATTTTTACAATCACCTTACAAGTTAGGCCCAAAGAGATTCACCACCTGCCCAAAACTATATAACTGGTAGCCAGGATTAGTGATTCTCATGTTTAATCTCTATACAACATATTAAGGAAAAAATAAAACAAAAATCTGGGCATAATCTAACCAGAAATATAAAGCAACATTATTGACAGTAACATAATTTGTTTCACTAGAAACAAAGTAGTTTTTAGACAAACTTTCAACTTTCCAGCACTTACTTTGCAAATATAAAAACTATGAAAACTCTCCGGTATAGAAATATGTAGAAAGCATACAAAAACGCTAAATATAAAAAACTGATAACTATAATTTTTAAATGAAATCATTTATTTTGTCTATGGTGGGAGTCAACATAAACAATTATAAATCTTTCATTGGGGCAATGCTTTGGCAAAATATATCAGTGCACTATATAAATTACTGTACGTCTGTCCAATTAAGCTAACTCACAAGTGAAACACTGCTCTTAAAAAAGAGATATGGAAAATGAAAAGCCAATCCAGATTATATTCCAAACAATACAAAAATCAGGAAAAAGGATTTTTACAACTTAAAGGTTGTTGCTGATGTCATATCACGTAAAGCCTATGAAATAAACTTAGATGAAAGTGGAATTATAACAGCCTGATACATTATCAATAATTATAACAGCCTGATACATTATCAGTATACATGTTCTCAAAGTAAAAAGAGTAGTAAAAAATTCCCAAGGAAAGGTATATAAATGGAAGAGATCATAATATTCCTGATTAAATTAGGGGACTAATTTCCCATCAGGAAGAACAAATAGAAAACCCAAACTTTTAAGTAACCATGCCAATGTGGAAAGGGAGGAAAAGAGAGAGGGGAAAAGGGAGTAAAGAAAAAATGGAAAAAACAAATGTGTAAGGAAGAAAAGTCAAAAAACACAAATTTCAAACACACAGGCACATGCACACACAGAGTATAAGATCATTTTTTTAAATAACTTGAGGCAATATTAAAACTAATTGTAAAATATAAAAAAGTATCTCTTAAAGGAGTAAAGCATTAAAATAAAGCATATAAAATAAATACCATATTATAATAGTGAACCCTATTATTATTCTTAAAATCATTTTCAATTACTTAACACTAGAGTAATAATTAAAAGTGTGCTATGACATGGTGCTTATCTGATACATTTAAAATTCATGGGAATAACTAAATAAAAAATATGGTTTAAGCAAAATTATCTCAATAAGCAAAGTTTAACGAAGCTATGTCATTGCAATTAACTTTCAATTTTAAAAGAGAGCACATTGAATGACAGCAGCAATCAGCATTTCTGTTATCAGTACTCTGCACCACAGAGCAGCGTCGTAAAAGTCTTCATGAAATAAAGACAGAGTATGTTAAATCAATTGCTATCACAAGGATGACCCATGAGAGGATTTCTACTGCCCCCAAAAAAACATGAAATGTATAATTCTATAACTTATGCTACTTACCTTGTCTTTGAAGATATGCGGATTTTGGTATATGAAATCTCGGTAGCTTTCTGTTCGTATTTTGTCCTAAGGTAGAGAGAGGAAAACACTGTTTATAGGACAGTCTAAACAAATAAATTTTTTTAAAGGGAGATATTTGCCATTTTATCACACATTGCTAGTTTCCATAGCAGTTTTTATACTTGGGATATCAAGCTTATTTTTTCTCCTAAGAAAACAATAAATAGAAATAGCAACAACACACAAAATGTTCTAAGAAGACTGAAAAATAAGACCCAAGTTCTTAAAAATATATATATTTTCCTCTTTACATCCATTATCACTGTAATAATTAAAGCTAATAGAAGATGAACATGTTTTGCTCCTTTCAAAACGTCCTGGAAACTACAGCCTGATTCCCTGTACTACAGCTATATTAAAATAAGGGAGAAGCCAAGTGCAGTGGCTCACACATGTAATCCCAACACTCTGGGAAGCTGAGGCAGGATGCTCACTTGAAGTTAGGAGTTTGAGACCAGGCTGTGCAACAAGGTGAGACCCTGTCTCTAAAAAAATAAAAATAAGGGAGATAAAAAATAAACAAATACGGCCGGGCGCGGTGGCTCACGCCTGTAATCCCAGCACTTTGGGAGGCCGAGGCGGGTGGATCACGAGGTCAAGAGATTGAGACCATCCTGGTCAACATGGTGAAACCCCATCTCTACTAAAACTACAAAAAATTAGCTGGGCATGGTGGCACGTGCCTGTAATCCCAGCTACTCAGGAGGCTGAGGCAGGAGAATTGCCTGAACCCAGGAGGCGGAGGTTGCGGTGAGCCGAGATCGCGCCATTGCACTCCAGCCTGGGTAACAAGAGCGAAACTCCGTCTCAAAAAAAAAAAAGAAAGAAACAAATAAATGTAAATATTGTAGCTACATATGAAAAATTACACTGAACTGGATATGTTTTTCTAAGAAAGTCACTGATCACCACCTATCTGATTTACATTCCTGTTTTGTTTGTAAAAATTTCTTTAGCAGGAAATGATGTTTAAAAGCTTGTAAGCCTAAAAGTAAATCATTTGAGCCCTGCAGCCCACATTACAAGGCTCCTACATTCTGAAGTCTCATATAACCTGTGACCAAGGCAAGCATGTAACTCTAACATTCATGCTGGTTCATGAACAGAGTTAACTCCCTAGATTGAAACACATACTGTCTGCAAATTAAGCAGTTAGGGGCTCTGCTCTCAAGTAAGTAAAATATGAGTGTGATAAAAGTAAATATCACAGAATGGAAATTCTAGTTTTAAGTTTCACATTAGGGTGAAAAGAAACTATTACACCAATTGCTACATTATCAAATCTTATACAAATCACATCCCCAAAACATTTTGATGCCAATATTGAAAATTTTTTAAAAGCATAAACGGAGATCTTACAGGGCAAGTTGTTTTACTTAAGTACTAGACCTAAAAAGGGAACTGTCCATACTTAATTCCATGTTTTCTGATTATTTCTCACTGCTTTACAAAAAAATTTTTAAATTAGGCTTATTAAATCTTCTCCTGAATTTATTTTAAGAATTAATAAGATAAATTTATATATATCAACTAGTTACATAATTTTAAAACTCATTTTTTCAAATCATACCATTTCATGCATTTTTTACAAATTTTATACTCTTCTGATACTATAACCAGTGATTTCTGCTGAAACAACAAAACCTACACAGGGTGAACATCAGTCAGGAATGCAGTCATTCAGAACGGTCTCACCAATCATCTGCCTCACCACTACTTCAACTTAATCAATAGAATTCCAACTGCTGTCCTAACTCCATGCACTGCTGCTCAACTAAATTACAATCTTTCATTCTGGCTCTTTCAATATATTCATCTGTTTTTGTTTGTACGCTCATGCTGGTATAACAAAATCCAAAGTATATAGTAGAGCTTCAATTTAGTCACTGAATTTTTGAAAAAAAAAAAAAAAAAAAAAAAAAAAAAAAAAAAAACCCAATAAATATGAAAATGCAGGCAAATAAAAGAGTAGCCTTTATAACCATTTCTAAAAATTTATTTTAATAAAGGCTAACATGTCAATAAAAAACAACAATAAGCAGAAATTTAAAATTTTTTTATATCAACCTTGAAACTAAGAAAAATAAAATAACAAAATTACAGCTCCAATGCTTAGGAGCAAGATAATATTTTAAGGCTAGTAAAGTATCATGAAATTATTCCCACAAATATTTTAAAAAGAATGAAGGTAAAGAAAAAAGTTATATGCTATAAATTTTACATATACAAACAACAGTATGCTTTTAATTGACAAGCTCGTGAAGGTGGACCGAGTGCATGAGACAGGTGCAGATACAATAAAGAGAATGCAGTAAAGGAAAATTACTGAAATTTCAATTTACTAAATGGTACTATGATCTGTGATTAATGTACAACAGGATGAATCATGTTTCTCTTAAAACAAAGAAAAGTGATGCATTTCAATTTATAGTATTAGTCAACCATGACTCTTCTTCAAAAAGATAAAGTGGCAAGGAATTTTGAAAGTTCATGTAATCTATCCCTCTATCAATTATATCTCTGGAATTCAAAAAAGGTATCTTTATCTTATCTGAAGAAATAAGATCACAACCTACTTTTACTTAAAACTATAATCAAAACATGTACCAAAAATAATATCACTAAAAGACACCAAACTAAGCAACAAAAAATCCAAATTATATTGTATAAAAACAAGGCCAATTCCAAGCATAAAAATATGTCCTGTAAATATGATTTCTCAATTTTAAGTAATTTATAAAAATTAGGTAAGATTCTAGTAGTAATATACCTTGAACAGTTTATGTGTGCTAAGAATCGTTCTGATGAGAAACAAGAAATAAAGCTGTGATATAAGGCATGCTTCACATTTATGCACAGCACATAACCTAGCAAAATGGATAAACAGTTCTTTTTGAATCAACTATCCATATTTCCTATAGACATTTAATCAGGTCATTTCCAAGGGGAGGAAATTAGATTGCATAAGAACTAAAGGAAGTTAAGGCACACAGAATGATATTTAAGTACTTCTCTCAAAGGGAAAAGGTGGCATTGGAAATTTCAAGTTGGAACTTCTTAAATCGATATGTACATCAAAAGGAGTTAAAGATACCAGATCAGGTATGAAATCTTACAGTTACTGACATATAGCTATAAGTGTCTAGGATAAAGATTTGTAAATTATAAGTACTCAAACTGAACTTCCCTAATGATTATACTTACAACATTCATATCTATTAAAAGTTTAACATGTCTGAAAAGCCCAACACAATTTCCATACCAAAGGAATTCAAGGTTTATAGTATTTAAGCAATGGGGTAATTTAAAATGACAAACATGGACCTAGATAAACTTCTTTAAAGAAAATATTCTAAATCTAATAAATAAAATTAATTTTAATAAAGAAAATGAAGCAGGTCAATTTCTTTTCAACAAATCCATTGAGACTTAAAATAATGTATTACTTATAATAAGGTATCTATTATTTATAATGCTATGCTATTACTCAGGTGACAACAAAAAGCACAACCATGACATGTAATTAGTAATGACACGACAGTTTTAAAAGACCCCACATAAGTACAATTATCAATTAGCAAACTTCTATTCTGTGATCCAGCAAAACTGAATCAACAAAATATATACACGTTATCAAATATCTCTGGTTATCTTAAATGCTTATGCTTCAGGGAAACCATAAAATAAAACAGCATCTGGAGGAAGAATTTAGAAAGGGATATTCTGTTTGTTGGTTTTAAGAACAGGTAATGGTGGGATCTAAAATTCAGAGATAAACATCTAAAATTTTCAATTTTTACACTCTGACATTTATGTTACTCTACATAGATATTCTCAATTTTACTCAACTAAAAATTACATCTTCCTATTTTACAATCTACAATACTTAATAAAATGTATAATTACCAAGTACAGCTAGAAATCAACTTCTATTTTATATGGATAATACTATTATAAAAATTAAAAGAAGCCAGATTTAAGTACAGTCACATGTTGCTTAATGCTAGGGATACTTCTGATACATTTGTTGTTATGTGAACATCATAGAGAATACTTCACAAATGAAGAAGTACATAGCCTACTACATACCTAGACTCTATAATATAGCCTATTACTCCTAGGCTACAAACCTGTACAGCATGTCACTGTACTGAATACCGTAGGCAACTGTAACACAATGGTATTTGTGTATCTAAGCACATCTAAACATAGAAAGGTACTGTAAAAATATGGCATTATAGTCTTATGGAAGCACCATCACATACGCAGTATGATTGACCAAAACATCAGTATGCAGTGCACAACTTTAACTAATTTGACCAATTCAGGAAATACTCCTATTTCAAATGTGAAAAAGTTACACCATAATAATTGTAAGATTTATAATTGAACTTTATATCAAAGAATTATTATTGGCCCAACCGAAAGTCAGTATGGCTATTAAAAACATTGAAATTAATCATTTCCTAAACACATTAAAAGGCAAATATATAATTTAATCCATCTAATTGTTCCTATTTAATAGTTGCTCTTGAGAAGACTAAAATAGTCAAGTTTTTCCAGTATTTTAAGGAAAAGGTGATTTCATAAAAAGATTAATAATGATTTTAAATGGAAAGTATAAGTGACTGATGGCTCTGTAATCTTTTTCTTTTTTTTTATAATAGAGACAGGGTCTCACTATATTGCCCAGTCTGGTCTCGAACTCCTGGGCTCAAGCAATCCTCCTGCCTCGGCTTCCCAAAGTGCTGGTACTACAGGTGTGTGCCACTGTGCCCTTGTAATATTTTCAACTCAAGATGAGCTAATAAGCACCAAAGAGGTATTTAAAAAGCAGTTCTTCCCCCCCCCCCAAAAAAGAGGTCTCCTACAGTGTACGTATATATTAAGAAAGAACCTGTTCTATTTTTCTTTTAGTAAGGATTTGGCGCACTTGTGTTCTTTTCTAACCTTAAGCATTTCTTCATGTATCCCATAATGCCCGTATGAGCTGAAATAAACACAATCCTCATCCTCCTGGAGGTCCGCAATGGCACTAGTAGATGACGAGCAGGTTCTGACATCTGCGTTCATCACAAAATCCTGAGCAAATTGTCTGTAATCAATTTGAAATACACCCTTGAGACAGGTTTACTGGACCATGAATAAAGGAAAGGCTAGAGGTTGAGGAAGAGGAAAGAGGAGGGAGTAGAGTGTGATGAGCCTTTGAATAACTGAAAGCTCCCCCTGCTGGATCTGAAGCAATGACGATATTCAAAAACAATTTTATGCATTCCTTCAAACCATGAAAGCAATGCCAACTGCAGATTATAGCTCTTTATGTCTTTCAACTGAACAAAATAAGCATACTACTTTTATTATCCTCTATTATTTCTATTGTTTTAAAATCCCTTTTTAGCAACTTAATCAATATAGTATACTTCAGCTCTATTAACATTCTTTAAAAACCATATTAATTTCTTGGGAATGTTATTCAAGCAGAAAGTAGAGCCAACTAGGTAATTATTTACATACACCAGTACCACCCACTCCAGCTCTTAAACTTAGATCCCTCTCAGATCATGACATATTAGGAAACTACAAGGTATACATAAGGGGGAAGTGCAAAGGGGCAGAAGGTCAAGTTGGTATTGGTTACTAGGTTATTTAGCACAAAAATTCTGACACAGGGAAGAGAAATTACCATTGGTTCTACTACCTTTCCTGCTGGACATTCATTCTGGCAAACCCTCAAATGGGTACTAATGCAATAGCAAACAGCTTACAAATCCAATAGGAAGATCTGTGAGGTATACTTGTTAGAAATGCAGAATCTCAGGCCCTACTCTCAATCTCCTGAATCAGAATCTACATTTTAACAGGATCCCAGTTGATTCCTACGCACATTAAACTTTGAAAAGTACTACACCAGTAGAACGCTAATTTACTCAATGGAAAAACGTCACCGTGTATCTGGTTTTCTGGTTTCATACATACCATAATTACATTTTGATTCTTTCTTTTTTTGTCACCGAGACAAAGTCTCGCTCTGTCGCCCAGGCTGGAGTGCAGTGGCTCCATCTCAAATCACTGCAACCTCCACCTCCCAGATTCAAGCAATTCTCCTGCCTCAGCCTCCTGAGTAGCTGGGATTACAAGCACATACCATGACATCTGGCTAATTTTTGTATTTTTAGTAGAGACGGGATTTCAACATGTTAGCCAGGCTGGTCTCAAACTCCTGACCTCGTGATCCACCCATGTTGGACTCCCAAAGTGCTGGGATTACAGGCGTGAGCCACCAAGCCCAGACTACATTTTGATTCTTTAAAAATAAAAATTTCAACCATGTATTCTCCCCCAAACCTCAAAAAGATTAATCCCTCCACTTAAAATTTAGGATAGAAAAAGCAACATGGAGAAATCAACTGGAAACAGGAAAAATGAAAGGAAGGCAATATTAAAGAACAAAAACATTCAAGAAAACAACATTTGTCAGAACATATCAGAATAGGTAAAATCATAAAATTTTACATTAACTATATGCATAGTATAAAAATGCTGTATTATCTTTAACAATATGAAGATAAAATACCTACATTGTACTTTTCAGTATATGAAATGTTCTACTATATTCTACCTTGCCATTGGTTGTATTATTTTGGGGATCTAAACAATTAATTTTTGTAAGATTGAAAAATTACTTCATTTTTTGCAGATCCTCACGTGCTCTAGCTAAGGCGGCTTCAGCAGACAGTGCCCTGGCTTCCATATGTTTCAATTTTTCAAGAACAGATGTATTTTCACTGAGTCCATTGGGGTATGAGAAGGGTACTGACACCGGTTCATAAAGATCTTCTACATCTAAGGAAATAAATGGACACTATTATCAGGCCATCTTATAATAATAAAACAAGTAAAAATATGTTAGGAATAAACATGTCCTAAGTTTTTATTATGTGGCCAATTCAGAAAGATTAGTGAAAGTACTTTCAATTAAATATTTATCATCTTGGCTGGGCACAATAGCTCATGCCTGTAATCCCAGCACGTTGGAAGGCCGAGGCAGGCAGATCACTTCAGGCGAGTTCAAGACCAGCCTGGCCAACAAGGTGAAACCCTGCCTCTACTAAAAAAATACAAAAAATCAGCAGGGCCTGGTGGTGCAGGCCTGTAGCCCCAGCTACTCAGGAGGTTGAGGCAGGAGAATCGCTTGAACCTCGGAAGTGGAGGTTGCAGTGAGCTGAGATTGTGCCACTGCACTCCAGCCTGGCACCTGGCAAAGGAACAAGACTCTGTCTCAAAAAATATATATATTAATTAATATTAATCACCTAAACTGTTTCAGTTTGAATTCAAAGAGCATGCTGTTAGTCTAAGTTTTTCATTACTTGGCTAAAGTGAACACATATTTAAGTATTAATTATACTAAACTAAATCCAGGAAGAAAGAAAAAACCTAGTATTTACTGATCAGCAGGTATCTTTCAAGTACATCATTACATCTCATTTTATTCTCAAAACAAAGCTAAGATATATTTAACCCTATCTTAGGAATGGAAAAAATAAATTTCAGATAAATTAAGTGACTATTCCAAAGTTATGTATCTGTTTATGGAGGAACTAAGATTTGAACCCACACCTGCCTTCGCAGCTCATGTTCTTGCCATTACACAAAGCCACCTCCTAGCCTATGTCCTTATTATAGTAGGTATTAAATTCAGATATTGCTTTAAGGGAAACCCTGCCATATATGACAATATGAATGAACATGGAGGACATTATGTGAAGCAACATAAGCCAGACAAGTACTGTGTGATCCCACTTTTGTGTGAAATTAAAAAAAAAAAAAAAAAAACAAAACTCACAGAAGTAGAGAGTGGAAAGGTGGTTGCCAGAGGTTGAGGATTGGGGGATATGGGAAGATGCTGGTCAAAGGGTACAAACTTTCAGCTACAAGATGAATAAGTTCTGGGCATCTATCTATGGTATAGTGACTGTAGTTGAAAATGCTGCACTGTATACTTGAAATTTGCAGAGAGTAGATCTTAAGTGTTCTCACCACAAAAATAAAAAATGGAAAGTGAGGTGATGATGTTAATCAGCTTGCTTATGGTAATCACTTCACAACGTATACACATATCAAATCATTACACCGTGTACCTGAAATGTACACAATTTTCATTTATATCTTAATAAACCTGGAGGAAAAAAAAAATCCTAACAACAGTGTGTAAAGAATGCCACATATTCAACAATTTTTCATCCCAGGCAAGGTGGAGTGAAATCTATACACTAAAGTCTTATTGCTGATATTACTAAATATTCTAATTCCCAGTATTATTTTTAAATTATTGATTTAATTTTAATTTTACTATATATAAATCATTGACTTCTGCAGAACTAACAGCTCTGCAAAGAGATGTTAACATATGTAGTTAGTGAATTTCACAAAATCAATGCCCATTTACTGGTGTAACTTTCAGACCAACTTAAGGCAATAAGTAGTGCAAATATTACATTTTCCCCTCAGGATAGCACTGGGAGAAATGTGACTTTGTAAAAAATCCTATTCAGTTTTTCGTTGTGAAGATACGTCTTCAAAGTTAGAACAAAATAGCTAAACTTAACGGATGCATAATACCATAAGAGACTACAGTCCAAGTTGAATTCTTGTTATAAAAGCAGTGCAAGGTGTTACTAGCTTCTCATCACCCTGGAAGAATACTGAGTCACTGAGGTTTAAAAACTGCATTCATTATCTAATTCACCAAAAATTAATGAGCACAACAAAATATTTCCAAACTATTTAAGGCTGGTGTACCGTATTTTCTACTTCCTACTACAAACCTCATTTTGTATTTTGATTTCAAAATTCTTCAAACTCTTTGGCCAGTTTCTGTTTTGCTTTCTGCTGCAATAAAAATTAGTCATAATAAAAACTTTTTAATATTAAGAATATGTAGATAATAATATATTAAAGATATTAAAGATATATATATTAAAGATGAAACTTAGAGATTTGAAAAGGAGAAAGGATTCAGTAAATGGTAGATTCCTAACTAAAATATGCTAAAATAGTCTAATTTAAAAGCCTAAACCATATTCAGAAAGACAAATTTCCACGTCTACCTTCTGTTTCGGGATGTCCAAATCACCTGGATACTTATTCTAGGCAGAGAAAAGGTGCAAAAGGTGGCCAATTTTTCCATAAAATACAACAATTATAAATATGTATAAACCTCACATAAGAGTTCCAAAATACATGAAGCAATTAAAGGCAAAAACAGACAATTCCTTAATCACAGAATTTTGTTCTTTTTTAAAAGAGTCTTCTTCTGTCACCTGTAACCCAGGTTCAAGAGATTCTCCTGCCTCAGCCTCCCATGCAGCTGGGATAACAGACACCTATCACCATGGCCAGCTAATTTTTGTATTTTTAGTAGAAACAGGGTTTCACCATGTTGGCCAGGCTTGTCTCGAACTCTTGACCTCAAGTGATCCACCCGCCTCAGCCTCCTGGTGAGCCACCGTGCCTGGCAATCACAGAGATTTAAACACGTGCCTCTCGACAATCAAAAGAACTATATAAAATATATCCAAAAAGACATAAAAGATATCTAAATAAAATTATTCAGCACCGTGACCTAATTAGCATTTATAGAATACTGCATCCAGTAACTGGAGAATATATACTCTCTTCAAATGTAAATAGCATGTTCACCAGGAAAGACTATGTCTATGTGCCTGGACATAAAAACAAGTATCAATGAATACATATGTATTTACAAACATAGTTTTGCTTTTGTTGTCTAGGTTAGAGTGCAATGGTATGATCTCAGCTCACTGCAACCTCTGCCTCTCAGGTTCAAGCAATTCTCCTGTCTCAGCCTCCTAAGTAGCTGGGATTACAGGCACCCGCCACTATGCCAGGCTAATTTATTGCGTTTTTAGTGGAGACAGGGTTTCTCCATGTTGGTCAGGCTGATCTTGAACTCCTGACCTCAGGTGATCCACCCACCTCGGCCTCCCAAAGTGCTGGGATTACAGGCGTAAGCCACAGTGAATTTAAATAAATTTAAAATGGTTGAAATGACACAGTATGATCACTGACTACAGTGGAATCAAATTAGGAATCAATTAATAAAAAGTTGTTTAGAGAAAAAAAACCAAACCTTAGAAGTTTAAATAATACATTCTGCCATGCATTCATCTGGTTACTTCTCAGTCTCTTCCAGTGTGTAACAGTTTCTCTGTCTTTGTTTTTCATGATCTTGACACTTTTAAAGGGTACTGATTAGTAATTTTTGTAAAATGCCCCTCAACCTGGGTTTGTCTGATATTTTTTCATGATTACATGAAGTTATACATTTTTGGCAACAACACCAGATAAAACACATTGTATCCTCAGTGCATCACATCCCCGGCTTCGTGGTGACTATGTCTTATTACTGGTCATATTAACCTCTTCTACTTGGTTGTGGTAGCTGTCCACTGGCTTTCTTCATTAAAGTTTCTGATTCCTTTGTAGTTAATACATTTCTTTGGAAGATACTTTGATCTATACAAATCCTGTTTTGCCTTAAATTTTTGCCCAGTTATTGTAGCCTCAACTGGTGGATCTTTTCTGCAAGTAATTATTGTGGTATTTGCCTAAAGGGGATTTTCTACTTCTCTCTTTCCTCCTATATTAACGGGAATGCTATACTACGGTTCAGCTGCTCCTTTTCCATTTATTTATTTGATTATTTTTGTTAGCATGGGCTCATGGATATTTACTTCATCCAACAGACTAAAATCTAATACTGTTGTTATTTTCTGTGTTGTTCAAATCATTCTAGTATTGGCCATCAGAAACTCCTTCAGGTTGGTTCCTGTGCTCTTTTGATAAGTATTCCTCTTCTTTAAGTACTTCCTTATTTTCTGGCGCAAGATGTCCCAGATTTATCTTTCATTTTTCCTGCTCCATGCCTAGAACTAATCATCACTTTAAGGAGCCTTGGTTCCTTTTACTACAGAAAATATTAGAAATTAGGATTTGGGCATTAGGTGCATTCATTGCCATTGGGGTTCTTCTAGGCCCTCTCAGCAAACAGAGCTAGGAAATATATGTATATATACTAACCCACACATGCACACACATCTATTATTTCTGTATCTATCTGTGTATACATTAAAAACTGTAAGTTTATACTGATACCTCTATTTCCAATCTATCATCACAGGATTCATTTTCTTCTTTTCCAGTTCCTTATTAGGAAGTTCTTTCTCTAGCAGTGAGAAATCTGGCTCTTATCATCCATAATATACATATTTACTTTTTAATTCTAGGATACACAAAAAGTTGTCAGAATTGCTAATCCATAGCCCATAAGAAACACTTTTACTTACTAAATTACAGCATTTATGTAGTTCTTTTTACCTTTAGCCTCACCACAGTATCTAATCAAGACTCCAGTTACATAGTTTTCTTCCCCGGTGCTTTCTGTGTAGTTATGTTTTTCATTTGTAGCACGGTAATGTTTATTCGTTAGTGTTTATACTCCATTTTGCACCATCACCTTCCTCCCCTACCTACCCCACCACATCATGGTTTTTTCAATTGTTTATTTTTGATTAAAGGAAAACTATGAGAAACACTACTATAATCCCTAAAGTGAGAGCCAAATGAAAAGATATTATTCAGAGAAGTGTCACTCCTTCATTACCCTGTTACCCATTCTCCTTGCACCCTTTTGTCATCCCTTTCCCACTAACCCCTGGAAGTAAGAAACTCTTTAGTTTCTGATGTATCCTTCTTGTATTACTTTTGCACAAATGAGCAACATTTGCATTTGCTCAAATTCCTTTTTTTTTTTTTTTTTTTTTTTTGAGACAGAGTCTTGCTCCGTCACTCAGGCTCGAATGCAGTGGCGTCATCTTGGCTCACTGCAACCTCTACTTCCCAGGTTCAAGTGATTCTCCTGCCTCAGCCTTCTAAGTGGCTGAGATTACAAGCATGCACCACCATGCCTGGCTAATTTTTGTATTTTTAGTAGAGACAGGGTTTCACCATGTTTGTCAGGCTGGTCTCAAACTCCTGACCTCATGATCTGCCTGCCTCCCGAAGTGCTGGGGTTACAGGTGTAAGCCACCTCACCCAGCCAAATCCCTTTCCTTCTTACACGAAGAGTAGCACAACACGCTCTTCTGGGCTTTGCCGTTTTTCATTTAACAGTATGTCCTGGATATCACTCTGTATAAGTTCAGAGAGCTTTGTTCTTTTTAAAAGGTGTGTACTACTCCACATGTGACAATTCTCCTATGCAAGGACATTTAAGTTGTTCCCAACATTCTGAAATTACAAAGCTAAAATCAGTAACTTTATGTACACGTAGTTTCAGAATGTAGGAGGTATACCTTCAAGGTAGATTCCTATGAGATTGCTAGGTTAAAAAGCACATATATAGTTTTGTTAAGTACTGCTAAATTTGCATTCTATTATCAACAGTGAGAGTGCCTATCTAACCACAGCCTCACCAACAGAATGTGTCATTGTTTAAAAAAACTTTTCCAGGCCTTTGCCCTGATCCAGCAGAAAATTAACGAAAAGACCCATACCTTTTTTTTTTTTTGAGGCAGGGTCTCACTCTGTCACCTAGGCAGAAGGGCAGTGGTATAATCTCAGTTCACTGCAACCTCCCCACCGCCCCTACCCTGCTTAAACAATCTTCCCACCAAAGCCTCCCAAGTAGCTGGGACCATAGGTGTGCACCACCATACCCAGCTATTTTTTTATATTTTTAGTAGAGACAAGGGTCTTGCCATGTTGCCCAGGCTAGTCTTGAACTCCTGAGCTCAAGCAATCCACTTGCCTCAGCCTCCCAAACTGCTGGGATTACAGGCGTAAACTACCACGTCCAGCCATTCTGGTACCTTTTTAGGTCTAAAAAGAGCTCTGAAGCCTGCTAGAACTTCATCTTCAGATCAAACCTGGGTATCCATAATCCCTTATCTTAGTCCAGACATTCCTTCCAGTTGATTCCAATTCTATAGATACTAATTCTTTCAATCAACTGCCAATCATAAAATCTTTGAATCCACCTATGACCTGAAGCCATCACCCCCTCCCTTCAAGTTGTCCCGCCTTTCTGGACCAAATCAATGTACTTCTTATATGTACTGACTGATGTGGTATGTCTCCTTAAAACATACAAAACCAAGCTGTAGCCTGACATGTTGGGCACATATTCTCAGGATCTCCTAGAGCTGTGTCAAGGTCCTCATATCTGGCACGGAATAAATCTCTCAAATATTAGAGTTTGACTTTTTGTCAACAAATTTATTCTCTCAAGTCTCCCTGTGTTTAAAACATACTGTACAAAATGTTCAAACAAGCTCATACTTTTTTTTTTTTTTTTTTTTTTTTTGAGATGGAGTTTCATTCTTGTCGCCCAGGTTGGAATGCAATGGTGAGATCTTGGCCCACCGCAACCTCCGCCTCCTGGGTTCAAGTGATTCTCCTGCCTCAGCCTCCCCAGTAACTGGATTACAGATGTCCACCAACCACACCCAGCTTTTTTACTTTTTTTTTTTTTAATAGAGACAGGGGTTTCCGCATACTGGCCAAGTTAATCTCGAACTTCTGACCTCAGGTGATCCTCCACCTCACAAAGTGCTGGGATTACAGGTGGGAGCCTCCACACCTGGCCACAAGATCATACTTCTAAATTGCTTTCTGGTAATGTTAGTGTGAGTATTAGTTTTTAAGCAACTTAACTTTTCCATTGAAACCAACTACCTGATGAAGCACTTAGAAAAATTTAAAAGGCATGTCTTTTCCTAAAACACTTTACCTCCATTTGCCATAACAAATGGCCTTATGTTAATTAAAGTAGATATACTTATGCTCATCTTACCAAATTGAAGTAAAAGGTCATCTTCTAATACCGGCTTCAAATACTCTTCCTTCTCCCAAGGCACTGGATTGTATATGGAATTCATATACTCAACTGTAGGATTCTGGATATAAAATTAATTGCATGTTTTTTCCATTACATATAACCACAAAATCTCCTTAGTAAAAACTACAGAAATTTAACAAAAAGGAAATCACGTCTGCATTACTCAAAATCAGTCTATCTCTAAGAAGTCTGTATATATTTGCCATTTCATTAACTTGTTGGATGATTGCTTAACCAGTAGTTTCAATGCAGAGGTTTTTTTTTTTACTATTTGGATTTGGGGAAAGCGTTGTCATGTCATTAAAGATTCCTTTAAATAGGACAAAAACACCCACAAAGTAAAGAGCAACCAAAATACTTAAAATGACATTAGCAATTATTTCTGATTTTACAGATCTTCTCCATCAATACTTCCCTTTATCTGACACTGAATTACTTTTTCACATATACTGATTCATCTCTTAGATGCAGTGAAAATAATACTTGTTAGTTATGGTAGACATTTACGTGGTGCATTCTGTTATGCTAGTTCCTAACGTCCACGAGTCCCCAATATGAGTACCAAATTTAACACAGTTCCTCATATAGCAATTCCTCATATTCTTTTAAATAATCAGTAGTCTGACTGATTAAGTCATCAGTAGACTCATTGTCAATGTAGCATTTCTTTAATTTCTAAACAAAATTATAAATTAGGCTGTCAACTTACCTTAAGTCTAATAAAATTTATTAGCTTAATGTATCCATAAAATTCAAGTCCTAAAGAGAGAAAAAAGAAAATTCACCTGTTTTAACACAATGTGAATTTTGTTTAATTGTCCTGTTCTATAAGGGATCTCTGATTAAATAAAATACTTCTTACTCTAAATTACAACTGATATTTTGAATTGTATTAAGAATTAGAATAGTACTTCTGAATATTCTGAGAAACAGCAATAGATGACAAATTATAGCTTTTGTTGTATTTCTAAAAAGATGGGAAATTGATTTTTAAAATTCTATTCCTCCTTTGTCAGAACACCACAAATCTGGAAAATTAGGTCCCACATTTTACCAAGTATTTGGCAATTGATATCAGCTAAAAATTTTAAATCCTTAATTTTTTTTTTTTTTTTTTTGAGACAGTTTCACTCTTGTTACCCAGGCTGGAGTGCAATGGCGTGATCTCAGCTCACCGCAACCTCCGCCTCCTAGGTTCAGGCAATTCTCCTGCCTCAGCCTCCTGAGTAGCTGGGATTACAGGCACGCGCCACCATGCCCAGCTAATTTTTTGTAGTTTTAGTAGAGACGGGGTTTCACCATGTTGACCAGGATGGTCTCGATCTCTTGACCTCGTGATCCACCTGCCTCGGCCTCCCAAAGTGCTGGGATTACAGGCGTGAGCCACCGCGCCCAGCCTAAATCCTTAATTTTTATGGTGTGTATGAAATTATAATTTTGCCAGGACATGGTGCATACTAGCTTTTACATGAAGTAAAATGATGCAAACCCAACGAGGTTTGTTATCTGGTTCTCCTATCTTTCCAGAAATGAAGCAGCATCTATAACAAAGGAAAGCAGTAACATACCCAATCAACCAATTATTTGTAATAAAACTGTTGTTATGAGAAAGCTTTAATAGTATACAAACCCCCTGTATTGGTAAATGAAAACAAATATAAAATTATATCTCAAGTATGATTCTAATACTTTAGAAATGCAACATTAAAAATATTTTAAAATGAGGCTGTCATTTATGCCTTACAAAAGTACTTCAAGTTGAATTTATGAGTTATAAACATGTGATACCATGTATTTATCTGTCTAGTATTTGCTGAAACATCTGTCTAGTATTTGCTATTCCTCAATAATGTCCCTTCTTAGTTTTCAACAAATATAGGGACCAAAGGACCAATTCTGTATTTATTTAATTTTTTTGTAGTGTAGCTCTTCTATATCCATTTAAAGAAGTGGATGGCCTTAATTGTAAGGCAAGTTTGTTTAAATAAAAGTTTCAATAGAAACAGCACCTGAATGTTTTGCTTCATCACTCTTTTTCCAGTGTCTACCAAACTTTGTACAAAACTCAGTCTCATAGGCCATGAAATTCATGTCATGCTTTGAGCTTTTTTCAAATGACCTACCTCCTTGTTCAAATTCTACCTCTATGCTTGCTCTCCCTAATTCTAATAGGTAATCACACAGAATGTAAAAATGTAATGACATGCCAAGTCCATTTTTGTGTAAAAATGTAATCACATGCCAGGCCTGTTTTTGTGTTTAGTTGTAAAGCTAATACAAGCTTAAATATAGTGAATCTTGTCTAGAAGAGTGACTTACTAATTATTTCCTCAAGGACCACTTGTCAAAAAACTCCATTTCCACATAAGATGTTGCTGTATGATTCACCATATTAGACTCCTACAGAAAAAGGGTCTGGAAAACTATAAAATCTGAACTTAAATTTCACACCTTTTTTTTTTTTTTTTGAGACAGAGTCTCACTCTGTCGCCCAGGCTTGAGTGCAGTGGTGCCATCTCGGCTCACTGCAACCTCCACCTCCTGGGTTTAAGTGATTCACCTGCCTCAACTTCCTGAGTAGCTAGGATTACAGGTGTGCGTCACCACGCCCAGATGATTTTTGCATTTTAGTAGAGATGGGGTTTCACCATGTTGGCCAGGCTGGTCTCAAACTCCCAACCTCAAATGATCCACCCACCTCAGCCTCCCAAAGTGCCAGGATTACAGGCATAAGCCACCATGCCTGGCCAAATTTCACAACTTGGGTTGCCTTTATTCTAAAAAAAATACTCACCATGTTTATGAACCATGCTGTCAATATTAAATTGATGCTCAGACTTACAGTGTGAAAATGTTTCTTCAGCAGATGTGAATAACCTGAAAAATCAAGCAACATGGCATAGTCCCCCAAGAAATCTAAATACTGATTTCATATTACATATACACTTTTTTTTTTTCACTCTGCTGGTTTCTAGTTTTATTTCCAATTAAGAAAAAACAAACACACTTGTATCTGAAAGGAATGGAACTCAGCACTTCCAAGGGAATAAATTAGTACTTCTGCGTCCCGTTTTACACCTAAAACCAATTATCCTTTAAATGTCAAAGTTAATTTATTTGTCAAATAATATCACTGATTTTATCAAAAGGCTTTTAAGAGAGTTCCCTTTGATAGATTCTGTTTCTCTCAAGTCATACAATTTCCCTACTTGAGATTCTTTTTTCCTCTAAGTGTCAACTCTGCTTTCAGAGGCTTTGAACTGGCACAGCTCAAACTGCTTTAAGAAACAAAGCATAAAATGTAATTTTACAGCTGGCATATTCCCAAAGTGCCTTATTTCAAAAGTGATCTTGTAGTGTTCCCAACGTACTTGCATTACAGACACTGTGAGCATCAAGCCTCTGTATTATGTGACATGGAAATCTGAAGGACACTTAAAGACAGGAATACACAGCAGAGAAGCTGCATACCTTATCTATATTCCTAACACATGTGGAGCATTAGTTTTCAACAAATGTTTATCGAGATAGGTTATTTGGAGTATTTATGGAGGCTATCATGGGCACTGCACCCCTGGTGCTCAATAAATATTTTATGACAACTAGAATATATGCAGGCATTCCACCTACCCAATGGCGCGACAGATGAGAACATTAACACACCACCAATCAGCACCATGTCCAGATACAGAGAACACTGGAAAATGTATTAAAGTAAGACTGGCCAATGCCAACCAGGCCTCTTTCATGCCTACTTGCCTAGGACAGCAGCCAAGACTTCCCAAGACTAATAGTCACAATTATAAGTGGCAGGAATGTGAATTTGGAAATAAGCACACCACAGCTTTGTGACCTTGAGCAAATCATTGATATTGCAGTCTCTTTTTCCCTAAGTGAAATATCCTACTTAAGGAAGGTGAACTTCCTTCTTTGACCATCTAAACCGCTCAAAAATAATAGAAATGGTTAACCTGAGAAGCTCTCTACTGCTCAAAGAATTAGCATGGTAAAGCTGGAAGGCTCCTTAGGGATTAAGTTCAGTGTGGCTCCCAAATTTGTTACTCATTAGTAACTTCATTGTTACTTCTGATCTTGTCCTTATAAAAACAGAAGATTCCTAGACCCTATTCCTGATTTAGAAAGATTCAGGTGTAGAGTTCAGCATCATTTTGTTGTCGTTTTTTCAGTGTCTCAAGGGACAAGATTTGGGAACCACAGATTCAATGCACTACTAGTCAAAAGCTCGTAGTACAATCGGCCTTCCAGTTCACGGCTCCCCCTCTCTACTACAGAGGGTCCTCCTCCGCAAGCCCTCACCCCAGACCAGTGGTTGCAGAATTCAAGGACAGGCCACTCTGGTTCGCCTCCTGCCCGAAGTCGTTCCTGGGCACCTGGACCCCACGCGGTCGGGCACCCTAGGGCAGGGGCCGGGCGCTGAGGCGGACGAACCTGTTACAGAACAGGCAGGGGGTCTGCTGCTTGTCGTGTGGGAGATCAGCATCGTCCTCATCCTCCCAGGCGGCCTCGTCCCCGCTGTCCGACAGTTCTGGCAGGTCCTCCTCATCCTCCACAGCGCCCCGGCCGCCTAACACAAGCACAACAATGAGATCGGCCTCGGACACCGGTGCGGCCCGGGCGCTCGAGGAACAGGTGAGAATGGGCTTTCCCACTCCTGTTCGCCCGCGGCCCTCACTCAGCACCCACTCCGTGCTCCCTGGGAGCCCCCCACCCCGCTCGGGCCCGCGTCCCAGAGGTATTCCACCGGCCCCACAGAGGCGCGGCCTGGGGGTGAGCGAGCCGGGTGCTGGGGGGTCAGGGGTACCCACCGGTAGCGCCTGACGCTAACGAGCACATGGCTGTGGTGCCCGAAGAGCCCGCGTGTCTGGGGGCGGGGACCGGGTTGGGCAACGAGCGCGCGCAGCGGCCGCCAACTCCGGTAACGAGCGCGAGCACAAGCGCGAGCCCGCGGCAGGACCGGGGCTCCGGGAACTTCACAGACCGCCGGGAACGGCAGAGCGCGCGCGCTTCCGGCCTCGAGGCGCGGTGCGGGTCACGTGAGGTGGGGGCGGGGCGAAAACGGGGGCTCCACCTTCTCCTGCCGCAGGGTTGACGCAGCGCGCACTGAGGAGGCGCGCTGATGACGGTGAATGTTGCAGCCCAGGAGGTGGCTTTTGTCCCCTCCTTGGGCTGCGGCAGGCATTAGCCGGAGGTCCCGGCCCGCAACCCTGAGCCCCGAGGCAGAGAGACGCCGTGGAGGTTTTGCTGTTGGCATCCTGTCCTCTGTTCGCCCCACAGAGCGGTTAAGCCATGAGCGGTTAGCGGAGGGGGCGACCGGCCCTTAACGCCCTCTGGTGGCGGAGGAGGCCAAACGCTGGAGGCTCGGCTGGTTTCTGGGCTCTCAGGTCCTGGAGTGGGTGCAGCTGGCGAGAGGGAACGAACTGTATGGGCCTGGATGGGTCTACTGCAGGGACTGATAGTAGCCAAAGCCCCGAAAACGGATTTTAATCTTTGGTTAACTGAGAGCGTGAACTCTAGAGGCAGTTTACTGGGTTTGAATCCTACCCACGTCACTTGGTAACTATTGAGCAAGTTACTCTATCTCTCTCAGCCTCAGTTTCATCAAATACAAAACCAGGATAATAACTGCACTAACCTCAGCACTATAGTAAGGACAAAATGAGTTAATACATGTAAAGTGCTGAGACACTTGGTCCTAAACAATGGGAAACGGTTGAACTATTTTTAAGCCAAGGCAGTGATGCTCTCGGATGTGTTGAGAAAGTAACATTCTGGTTGCTGTGTGGGGAAGAATACAAATGTTTCCCTGCCTGCCTCATGCCACTTCCTTCTTCCTTTCCTAATATCTATTCAAACCATAGATTTTTTTTTTTTTGAGACTGAGTCTCGTGCAGTTGCCTGGGCTGGAGTGAGCGATCTCTTCTCACTGCAACCTCCACCTCCCGGGTTCACATGATTCTCCTGCCTCAGCCTCCCTAGTAGCTGGGATTACAGGTGCACACCACCACACCCGACTAATTTTTTGTTATTTTTTTAGTAGTGACGGGGTTGCACTAAGTTGGCCAGGCTGGTTTCGATCTCCTGACCTGGTGATCTGCCCGATTCCGTCTCCCAAAGTGTTGGGATTACAGGTGTGAGCCACTAATTCTTTCTTAGGCCAGCATTCTTTCGCAGGAGGGCGTGCCCCAGGCTCTAGCACAGTTTAAATTGGCCTACCAGGCTCTGCATAATCCTGCTTCTTTCCAACTCGCCCTCAAGCCTTTTATTTACTGCTAATCACCGAATCCTCTACAAGTGGGTAAATCCTTTTGGTCTCAACCAGAAACACTTTCCTCAAGCCACCATTTCCAAAATAGTTTCCACCATTGTTTCAGAAGTATTTTGTTCGTTTCTTAGCACCTACCATTTGCTTACTTGATTTTTTTTTTTTTCTTTTTTGGTGATACCCCACAGCACTGCACAATAAGGGTAAGTAAGGGCCATGACTCTTTACTTTCATTTCTCTGGCACATAATAATATATGGCCTGGCCCATAGTATTAATGGACACTGAATTTATTTACTGAATGAAAATTATGCCTTATATATTGTTAAATGTATTTCTGAATGTACTCCTTTCCCTTAATTGCAAATTCCTAAAGGACGGAATCTGTCAAATAATTAGTTTGTGGGTTTTTTTTTTTTTTTTGAGACAGAGCCTTGATCTGTCACCCAGGCCGGAGTGCAGTGGTGCGATCTTGGCTCACTGCAACCTCCACCTCCTGGGTTCAAGCGATTCTCCTGCCTCAGCCTCTGAGTAGCTGGGACTATAGGCGCCCACCACCACGCCTGGCTAATTTTTGTGTTTTAGTAGTGGTAGGGTTTCACCATGTAGGTCAGGCTGCTTGAACGCCTGTTCTCCCGTGATCCACCCGCCTCGGCTTCCCAAAGTCCTGGGATTACAGGCGTGAGCCACTGTGCCCGGCCCAAATATTCGTTTTGAAGCTTTCTTACATTCTAGGACATTGCCAAAATAGCTGCTGGCTCCCTTGAGTTGGAGTCATTGTTCATGGATGAATCCCCAGTGCCTGTGTACTCAGTGGTTGCTAGGAGGCACTTAATAAGCATTTGTTGAATGAATGAATTAATTAAACACTTTTGATTACCTGGGCGCATCCAACTTTTCCCTTCATCCTTCCAACATAAACTTTTTCTGTGTAAAATGTGGTGGAAAACTTCCTGAATCCCTTAGTACTAAATGGAACACTCAGTCCATTCATTGCTGACAGTAAAACAAGTTAACACCCAGTGTGGAGGATTGGCCAAGAGTCTTGTTCCTTAGTAAGTTCTTATCTCACCACAATGCAGAGCTCAAGAGAGGGCTGCTTTTCTCTCTACTCCCAAGGTGAACACAAACCCTTCCTCATCCCACATCACTACTGAGACCATAATAACATGTTGAATAAAACCTGCTCGAAGGTTTGTAAGGAAATAATATAAGGAGAATAACTTAAAACAGGCCACTGGGTTTAGCTGCTTTCAGAGCCCAGAGGCCTCACCATATCCTCAGCCCATGCTTTTTCACCACCAAAACCACACATTTAGACTCTTCAAAGTCCAGCTCCCAGGGAACCCCATCTGGCAGGAGGAAGATAATTCCATTTCTTTCTAAAGCTCACATTTCAAGATTCCACCCTGCCCTAAATTATGCCTCTTTTCTGGGTGACTGACATTGGGAATGTCTACTGCCTTCTAAGGATATACACCCCAAATTAAAGGGCATGGCCTTTATCCTCCAGTGTATAATGAAGCTTGAAATGTACTTGGCATACTGTAGGCCTTGGAAAAATTGACTGAATCACTCAAATCACTTTGCTTCCCTGGTGTAGATGTTAAGTTTCACCAACATCTTTTGTTCCATGATGGAAATTAGCAATGTGTGCTCCTCTTGGCTTTGACCCTTTTTTCTGTATCTTCCTTTGTCTTAATTTTTAAAGTGCAGCAGCATGAGCACTTTAAAGTTTGGTGGCATAGAATTTTACTGGCTATGTGAACATTTTGTGGTTAATCACTAGAACAAAGGAGAAACCCAAATATTTCAGTTTTGTTCATCCACAACATGTAGTAACAATTAACTGGAACTACCTGGAAATATACAGAAACATTGATCTTGCAGGGTGGTTAAAAACAGGATCTGTGAGCTCTATGGGATCAGGCAGACCTGTGTTAGAATCCTGACTCTGCCATTTCTTAGCTTCAGTTCTTCAGCTTTGGACTTTTGAGCAAGGCACTTAACCACAGTGAGCCTCATTTGCCCATCTAAGACATGAAGATCATGATAGTATAACTTTATAAGGATAGCTTATAAGGAGGGTTAAAGCACAGAAAACACATGTAAAGCCTGGTACTTAGTAAGCATATCACCCCACAGGCTGAAATGCTGCATATCACCACTACTACATGGGCATTTTCTTTTTTTTTTAGACAGAGTCTTGCTCTGTCACCAGGCTGGAGTGCAGTGGCACAGTCTTGGCTCATTGCAACCTCCACCTCCTGGGATCAAGTGATTCTTCCACCTCAGCCTCCTGAGTAGCTGGGACCACAGGTGCGTGCCACCACGCCTGGCTAATTTTTTTTGTATTTTTAGTAAAGATAGGGTTTCACCATGTTGGCCAGGATGGTCTCGATCTCTTGACCTTGTGATCTGCCTGCCTCAGCCTCCCAAAGAGCTGGGATTACAGGCGTGAGCCACCGCGCCTGGCCATTACATGGGCATTTTCAAACAATCTAAGAGGTACCCAAGAGTTGACCATTTATCTTTATTCCTTTATTTAATCTTCCACATGTATTCTTAGGTATATAACTTCTATTACATAAAGAAGTAGTAAAGGCACAATGTTTACTTACAAGTTACATGTAGCTAATTAGCGCTTTTGTAATTCAGAGAGATGAATGTCAACAATTTTAGAGCAGAGCTCATATGCATGGTCATAAGATTTTCACTGTTGCTGTGACTCTGCAGACAGTCATTTCAAAACAGGCCTCCCAACCAGTGGCATCAGAACCGGTGGCATCAGGGGAAGTATAAACAAGGAAATTACACATTATTGTGCCCACACTCCCAGAAATTTTGACTCAAGTTTGAGATCGAGCTTACAAATCTTTATTTCTCCAAAGCTCCCTGGGTGATCTATATGTATAACAGACTCTGAACCAGAGATGCAGAGCACCATCATTTCTTGATTGGAATGGATGCCTGAGAATAGTAAAACAACAAAGTTAAAACATGCTGACTTTTTTTAGACCCTGAAATTACTGATTTGGTGATGAGTGTTAAAGTTGACAGTAAAAACCATTACTCCAGTGTGGTCATGGCTTGAGAGAGCCATCCGCTTTCCCCAGATCGTGGATGGCCTTGTTCTCCAGCAGTTCCATCTTCTTGTCGCTTGGTCTCACTGCATTGTTCAGCATTGCTCTAACCACAGTCGCCACAGGCACAGAATGCCCACTAGCCCAAGATGCTGGTAAGGAGCCAAAGAACTTTCTAACGAACCATTCACCTGGGCGAGATTCTTGCCTATCACATAACAGAACTCTTAAAAAAAAAAAAAAAACAGAAAGAAAAGCAGAAGAAGAGGTAGTAAATTGCACTGAGACCACAGTGGGCATTATGGACCAAACTGTATCCCCTCAAAATTCTAATGCTGATGCCCTAACCCCAATGTGTCTATCTTTGAAGATAAGGCATTAAGAGAAGTAATTAAGATTAAATGAGGTCTTAAGGATGGAACAGGACTAGGGTGATGGGACTGGGGTCCTCATAAGAGGAAAAGACATCAAAGGTCTCTCTCTCTCTCTGCATACATAAAGAAGGCCATGTGAGGACACTACCAGAAGGCCGCCTATCTGCCAGCCAGGAAAAGAGGCTTCACCAGATATCAACCCTGAGGGCACCTTGATCTTGGACTTCCAATCTCCAGACCATGTGAAAATAAATATCTGTTGTTTAAGCTACCCAATCTGTGTGGTATTCTGTTATGGCAACTGGGGGAGA